GGGCCCGTCCAAATCAACAACAGATTGGGGTCTAATAGACCTTAATCGAGGTGTTCTCAGTCACGGAACACTTCGATTAAAGTCCATTCGACCTCAAAGAATTCAAGTCCGGTTCAGGCCTGGTTCGTTTTTGCTGTAAGCTTCCGGGGTAATTTTCTTTTCTATCCTTCTGTTTGTGTGTTATTCGTATGTCCGTAGATTTGTTTTGGATTTTTGATTATTTTTCTGTCAATTCTCCCCATCTTCAAAGACCATTTTATTTGGTCGATTTCTTTTCTATTTTCAGTGTTAGGTGTATGTTATAAGATATCTATTCGTTTCGACTAATGTCGTCGAATAGTTAAGTTTCGTAAATTCCATGCTAAATGTCCCGAATATTGGAATAATTTGGTGGCATGTTTAGTCTATGTTGTTTGTTGATTGTTTGTTACATGTAATAGTTTGTATAGTCGATTTGAGTAACGTCGTCAAATAATTAAGTTTCATAAGTTCCATGTTTCATCCAAAAACACATGAATCACGTGTGTGCTCTGTTTTAGCATGTTTTTGTTGTTAACTGATTAGTATATGTTGTAACTCGCAAAGTCGATTCGATACATATTGTCGTTTGTGTTTTACAGTCTTGGAAGGCAACGACTTGATTCATACTGCTTGATTCTGATTAAATGTTTGTCTAAATTCAGTGGTAAACTAATTATAGTTTGTAGTTTGTTAGTTGATGAGGTTCGAATTAGGATTAAAATGGTTATAGTTAACAGACTCAGCGATGCGAAGGGGGTGGGGTAAGGCAGTAATAATTAGTAGTTTGAGGGATAATTTGGGGTGTCAAAGACTGACAAATGCTTAGGATTAATGGGCTGTCAATTGGTTAATGAAAAATACTATTAATCTAGTATTAGTGGGGTGAAAAACACAAGAACATGGGTCAAAATAAATAATCTAATAAAAGTCCATGACTCTTGAATGAATCAATATGACAAGCATACTATAGTGGGGAACCAAATGACTGGCATCAAGAAGATACTTAGGCGTGGGAAGTTGAAGGGTATGGGGAGGAAGTCTGGATACGAGGCAGTCCTGTGAAGGTCCTTTGGGCCTATAAATAAGCTCATTTTTTTTACTAATAAGGGGGGTTGAAAAAACAAATTGAAAGAAAACAGAAGAAAATTTCAGAAAAACTGTGAACTAAATACTGTCTGAAACTGCATAAGAGACTAATGTTGGCAATCAAGAGTCAACACTGGACAGCCCTTTAAAAGAAAAGGCAGCTAGTCAGTTGTTTGGTTGGATATTGTGGATAGTCAAGCTATCTTTTGTCAAATCGGTTATATAGTTGGGCTGTTACTATTTCATTGGGGTATTCTGATTTCTCTGCGGGATTACTACTGTATTCTGGGCTTCTGTATACTGCTGGACTGCTTATGGTCTTATTGCTATTGAAGCTGTTGTTGGTTATTCGTCGAGTTGTTGTGATTATTGAACTGCTGTTACTATTGCATTGAATATTCTGGGTTTTTCTGCGGGTTTACTACTCTGTTCTGGGATTGTTGGTTGGTGCTCGACTACCTATGGGTTTATCGTTGTTGAAAATGTTGTTGGTTGTTCGTGAACTAGTGGTTATACTGTTGCTGTTTGTTACTGCTGTATTACTGCTGCCTGGCTGCTTGCTGCTGATATTCTTCTTCTTCTTCTTGTTCTTGTTGTCTAAATCCAGGTACACATACTAAGCTGATGTAATTCCATGTTGAAGTTGACATTTGAAGCATGAATATACACATGAAGAAGTTGAAGTTATAAACTGAATTTAGTTTTCTTTACTGATTGTACTTAAGCCATTTTATGTATCACTGATATGTAGACTCCTGCCAAGGAGCTGTATAACTGGACCGTTTTCATATATGCAGTCATTTAGTTTATGAACTCCCTATGTAGGCCCTTAGTTAAAAGAAGGATATGATGCTAAAAAGCACCCTGTTTATTTCAGTTTGTTTGTAAAGATGCATGTCAAACTAGAATTAGGCCAAAAGACTTCTAATTGTCATGACAGTCTAATTTCAGTACGCAAATGGTTTGAATTAGGATTAAAACTAGATCTTTAAGTTCTTTCATGCCAACAGATTGCTTACTTTAAAACTTACAACAAACTGTTAAATGAAATAGTATCAGTTTATCTTTCAGCTTTGCAAACTCACGAATAGGTGTAGAAACAATTAATTAGGCCCATATCGGAATAAAGATGGCCCAGGTCCAGTGTAATATCATATGCATTGGACCCAGGCCCATGATTTGGCAAACGGATGACCCATACGCGTCCTCGCATTCGAATTTTATAAATTTTGTTCGGAGATCGACTATAACAATTTCAAGTATGTAATGGGATTAGGATCTCTTTTCCTCTTTCATTTTAGAGACGGACAAAAAATAGAAGAATGTAGTCGCTTTAGGATATCCTTTTAAAATAAAAATGAGACGAGCCTCGCCAAATAAAACGCGCAGATTGCGGGGCCCTCGTTAAATGTATATATATTAAAATACTTAGTTTTCAGGACGGGCCGTTTAGCAAATTTCACGGCCTTCCCAAAATAATAACGTGATAGTCTCTTTAAGCGCATGTTTAGTAATTTACTTTCTTAAACNCCCCCCCGCGGGGCGGAAAAAGGAGGTGTGACAATGTATACGTATACTTGGGCCTGAGGCCGTAGCTTGTGCATATATATATTGGGCTCGAGGCCATAGCTTATTCATATAAATAGGTTGTTCATCATTCAGAAGAGGGAGTATTCATATCCTTACTTCCTTTATCATTTCAGTCATCAGTTATCAGTTCAGTTACCAGTTATAAGTTATCAGTTCAGTTATCCGTTATCAGTTTAGTTATCCGTTATCAATTATCATTTCAGTTTCAGTTTCAATAGTTATCATTTCAGTTATCAATTATCAATTCTCAATTATCAGCATAGTTTCAGTTTCAACATTTTTAATTCTTTCTTTCAGTTGCTTTACATACCAGTGCAATTCAAATGTACATCCCTCATGTCCGGGGCCTGCATCTCATGATGCAGATAATGATTTACAGGTTGATGATTCAGAGCGCTAGGACTCTCGTATCAGCTGTTTAGTGATCCCGAGTTCTTTCGGGGAATTATAATTATCTTATAGTCTTCAGTATTTTCAGGTAGTCAATGTTTTCAGTACTTCATTAGAGGCTTCATAGACTAGAGTAACAGTTAGACAGAGTCTCAGGCCTTTCATGTTAAGCAATGTTGACTACATATATGTTTCAGACTTGTTTTAATATTTTCGTACTTTGATTTATATCATCCAGACTTTCAGTATATCAGCATGTGTTAGTTTATCTTCCGCATTCAGTATGTTATGATATCACATGTTGATTCAGCCAGCCAGTTGGTTCGCTCGGTCACATGTAGTTAGGCACCGAGTACCGTGTTACGTCCAAGCCCAGGTTCGAGGCGTGACACATGTACTCCAATCACCAGTATATTATGCTGAAACTTTTCGTGTGCTGAAATTTCAATACAATATACTGGAAGTTCATATACATATGTTCCAGTCTCGAATATATTATGCTGGAACTTTTCGTATACTGGAGTTCCAATATAATATGTTGGAAGTTCATACCAAGTGCTCTAATCTTCAGTATATTATGCTGGAACATTATGTGTTGCAGAAAAATAATGACGATTTTTAATGACTCTGTAAATGATGACTATATTTTAATTACTAATACGAAAACCGAACGTGTGAAACAGATACCATATCGAGGGGGAAACAAAAAAGATTCACATTTTTTCCTTTTTAACAAGCTGGTTTATTTAACTTAGAGGTGCTAATCGGGTCGGGCTGACCCGCTAACAACCCGGTTCAACCCGGTCTAGCCTGATCCAGCTCGTTACTGTGNGAACCACATTCAACCTGGAGGTGTTAATCGGGCCGGGCTGACCCGCTAACAACCCGGTTCAACCCGGGCCAGTCCGGGCCAGCCCGTTACTGTACACTCATGTGCGGGTTGGGACGGGTTGGACGGGGGGCGGGCTAGTAACGTTAAGTTTTCGCCAAACGGGTACCCGAACCCGCCACAACCCGTTAAGCCCTTAATGGGCCTCAGCCCGCGACAGCCCGCAAAACCGCCTAAACTATCAATAACATTGAAAAAGAAAAATATAAGACAGTTAAAAATAATTAAAAAAACGAAAGCCTGACCCGCCCGAACCCGCTAAGCCCGAACCCGTACGGGCCCTATAGAACCCGAAAAATCCCAGCCTGCCACCAGCCCGTTAACTCCAGCCCGCTAACAACCCGCCCGTAACCCTAACGGGCTGATCAATTTTGTGTCCAGCCCGTCCCAACCCGCCCGATAAACATCTTTAATTTAACTTAACCCGCCCATAATGACAGCACTCCCAAAGACACTACTAATAAAGCAGTGCGTTCTCTCTCCCACTCAGAAACGGCTAACTCAGTTCTTTAGCAACAATGGCGGCATCCAAAATGGATATTATTGACAGTGAAAATCAGGTACCAAAACCATATGTTAGGTATACAACTTACATGGGATGTCCCGCAGTAATCTTTTCAAAATGTATTGGGATGCAGCAGCCGCCAAATGTAGACTTACAATGGTTGGAAAGTTCTTTAAAAGAAAGCCAAAAATGACAGCAATCCGAGCTAGTTTCAGTGCAAAATATCCTTTGAAAGACCATGTGAAGATTGTGTCTTTCGATTCTCTACATGTATTTCTTGATTTTACTAATGAAGAGGATTATGATGCTATTTTTTTCAAGGAAACGATCATTGTTGCTGGTGCCCAAATGGAGGTTTTCCGTTGGACACCAGAATTTCACGGTCCATTTGTGAGTACTCTGATTGTGTTTGATTAGATAGCTATTACTCTCTCCAATCTCAATAATTTTTGTGTCGCTATAAAAGATTGTCACTAAGGTAAAGTGAAATAGTTTAATTGTTTCCATACTTAGAAAAGAGTTTTTTTTTTCTTTTGTAAATATAATGGTAGTGTTCGGGCCAATTTGTGCACATCTTGATACCCGTTGCAACAACAATAACAAAAAAAACCCAATGAAATCACACAAGTGGGGTCTGGGATAATGTGTACGCATACTTTACCCCTATCTTATGAAGGTAGGTCATTTCGGAAAGACCCTCGGCTCAAGAATCTTGGTACCTGTTGCCTCCCATCAATATAGGTACCAAGTAACTCTGTCCACAAGGCTTAGATAGATGAGAAGAAATCACCTCCTCCGCTAAGATTTAAACCTAAGACCTCATGGTTCTCCTCCCACTTAATTGGCCATCAAGTCACGTCCTTGGGTGCAATTATTAGAATATTTGTTTTAAGCAAGGAAGGTAAAAGTACAGTGGAGGCAAAAAATGCTAGGTGATTTTTCCCGATCTGCCTAAGCTGGGCGAGTTATACCGTATACGATATTTGTGCTGACAGGAGGTAGAAGGTACCAGATGATATAGTCGAGGCGTGCACAAGCTCGGACCTGACACCGCCTTCACCAAAAAAAAAAACAATGAATGGTACAGTATAGCTGTCTGGCCATCTCCAAGTAAGGGTAAAGGAGGAGAGTTGGGTAAGTCGACACCACGTGCAATTTTTCTTTTATTGAATGAATCCTGATATATATAGTTTACACCGGCGAATTTGCACGAAACCTGGTTGATTGCCTGAGTGATTTTATTTTAAGGAACTCTATGTGAGTTTCACAATATATAGTCCGTCTCAAGTTTCGATAAACGAGGGGGTTTGGGAAGAGGGTTGGCATATGACAATGGTGCCGGTAACAGTAGTTTTATGATCAAGGAATCGTTGAATACATGAACGAATGTATATCAATATATATATATTGGGATTGAAGTGATAGTTGATAGGTAGATGGATTGAGTTGTCTGTTTAAGTGACTAAGACATTGTTTAGCAGGATGCTTTGTCAAGAAAGTTAATTCCTATGTATCTTTTACTTTGTATCTGTTTCCTGTTACACGTTGATAAGTTTTTATATGGACTGTCAATTACTTTGTTAAACTGATAAGTGTTGGGGTTGTTATCAGCATTTAAAATTTCAAAGATGAAGAGCAATTATAGCCTTTGCTTGGAAATGTTAAATTGCAATTTTAGGAGATGCTGACCAAGGAACTCTTTATGTCTGAGCTTTAGTGTTTACCATTGTTGCACTATCTTTGGATTGAAAATTGGGGTCTTGGCTTTTAGTTATTGGCATCAATAGTGTAGTTTCTGTGCTGTATTAGACAATTGCATATACTGCTATTGTACTGCCTAGCTTTTGCTTTCTTTTGTGATCTAAGTTGTAGTCTTTGTCAAATAGTGTGTGCGGACGCTCTTAGTTGACAATTTTCTTTTTGAGTTCCAAGAAGGTAAGTGAAAATTCTTATCCTTTTTGCCTTCTGAAGGAAGTGCTTGTTTTGGAATAGTGTTTTGATGTAGTTTTTCACGGTTACCATGTAATGCAGACAAAAATGAAACCGGATAATCACACAGCTAAAGTAGAAGGCAGGGATGAAACACTTGGCATTATGGAGCTAGATAAGAATGAGCATATTGGTGGTGGAAATGAGTACGGGAGTAAGGAGTCAGAAGCAGCACCTAAAAACACACACATACTGGAAGATGGTTTATATATTTCTGATTCAGTAGATTGTGTCCCAGAAGCAACTCATTCTGATTCCGCGGAAAGAGTCGCAAGTCCTGTCAATTGCAGTACTGCAACCTCTGAAATACAAGCTTCTGCGGAAACTAGTTGCAGTGGGTCAAGTGGCCTTTCATTTGCTTCCGATGGGATTGCAGGAGGAATTCCATCTGTTATGGATGATAGTTCATCGATGTGTTCCACAGACTCAATGTCTTTCAGAGGGACTTATTCAAACCATAACATCCAAAAGTTGTATGGCAGGTAAAATGTTTCTGCCACTTATTTTTTGGCATCCATTTGGATATCTTTTGCGAATGTCTGTGATAGTTTTAATTCCTGGTGCTTCAACTTTTTAGAGGGTGGAAATATGGAAGCAAGTCAACTAGTAATGCAGCTGATTGGGCCAGTGAAAAACTTAATCAGCCATTAGATGCTCTTCCAATAGGTGAACACCATGAGGATCGGAAATCAAGACCTCCGATCCAAGTGCAATATTCAACCTATAGGGGACGCCAGGCAGTAACCTTTCCAGAAAACTACTGGGAAAGCTTAGTTCCCGATTGTAAGCTCACTTTGATTGGGAATTTCTTCCAAAGGAAGCCACGAATGAAAGAAATCCGAGCTGATTTCATTGCAAAGAACCCTCTGAAAGGCCAAGTGAAGATTACGCATTACACTTCTCAACAAGTATCTCTTGATTTCACCAATGAAGCAGATTATGACACTGTTTTGTCCAAGAAAACGCTCACTGTTGCTGTCATGCAGATTTCCTGGTGGTCGCGAGATATCCATCATGAAGTAGTGAGTACTTTAAATCCAGTTTGGATAACTCTACTTAATTTATCATGGCACCTCTTCTAATGCGAAGCACTTTAACAACTGTGGCTCTTACCATAAAAGCTTTAGCCTTTGTTTTTTGCATAGTCTATGGTATTTGATTTTGCGTAGATATGATATCAAAATAATTTCTATTTACAGTTTATCCCATATATTTAAGTGAGGATACTGAGATAGTGTTTTGCAGGAGGTTTTGTCAAGTAGATTACTTACTGCATCTTTATGTTGCCTCTGTTATCTGTTATACATTGCTGAGTTGTCGCATGGACTATGTGCTACTTTTTTCCATTAAAGTGCTGCAGTTCTTACATTTGTGCACACCTCGAGCACAACGAATAGTTAGATACTAAAATTGAGTCCGTTTATAAGCTATTTATATTTTGGCTAAAAGGAGCAATATTTATCCTTGCTTGGAAGTCTTTTTGTCTATCGGTAACAACCTCTATACTTTCTAGGCAGGTGCAAGGGGTAAGGTCTGCTAACAAACTACCCTCCCTAGACCCCACTTGTGGGATTATACTGGGTTTGTTGTTGCTGTTGTTGTTGCTTGGAATTCTTTTTGGGTGAAGCGCAGTTATGGGAAATGGCAGACTAAGGAGCTCTTCACGTCTGAGCTCTATAAATATCTTTGGTTAGAAAAAAATATGCTTAGTTTTAATTATTGGCGTCATAGTGTAATTTATGTGCGGTGTTCGACAATTGCGTATGCTGCTGTCCTACTTCCTAGCTATAACTTTTATATATTTTTCATCATTGAGCTTGATATAAAAACTGCTTATGCAGAAACACGATATTCACTGGGAGAATGTGTAGAAAAGGATGCATTAATAGAAGCAGAATTGAATTTTAAATCATTTCGTTCATTCTTGGGGTAACTGCACCTCCTTCAACCCAATAAGAAAAAGAAATAGAAAAAAAGAGAGCCTTTAGATTAAGAAATCAAATGAAAGAGTGTAAAGAGATAATTGCAACGTATCGGTGCTGGGACAGATTAAATGTTATAGCGAATTAGTTAATGCAGAAGCTCTTATTTGTCAGTTTTATTTTCACTGAGAGGGTTAGTGAGAATGTTTATCCTTTTCACTTCGCGGAAAAGTGCTTGGTTCAGAATTTTTATTGAAAGCCTTCTGTCATTCTTACCTTCTAATCCCAGGGTAAACAGGAGTGGAAAGCAATGGATAAGGAGAGAGATGTAAAACCTGGTATTATGGAGCAACAGAAGACTGAACTAGATGAGCTTATTGGTGGTGAAACTGAGTACAAGATTGATGCTCCAGAAGCAGTACTTGAAACGCCAGACATACTGGGAGAGGTTTCAGATGTTTCTAATTCGCTACATATCGTTCCAGAAGTAGCTCATCCTGATTTTAGAGACAATGATGCAAGTCCTGTTAATTGTGATACAGACACCTCTAAAATGCATCCTTCTATAGGAATTACTTGCTGCCAGTTAAGTGGCATTTCAGCTCCACAGAATATGATTGATGGAACAAGTCCTTATGTTATGAACGTTAATTCATCAAAGTGCTCCACATACTCGATTCTTTCGATTGTTACAACTGGACTATCTTCGAACGATAAAGATCAAAGCAAGTCAATTCGTGATGTAGCTGATTCCGCTAGCAAAGCACATAGTCAGCCGTTAGATGATCTTCCAGAAGCTCGGCAACAAATGTTGAAGAAGGTTGCTATCTTCTCTTTTTACCCATCGTCAATTTACCTTCTGTGGATCCACTATAATTTGTCCCAGAAATAGTCGTGTCACCTAAAACATTTGTTTTATTAAAAAGCTTTTACTCTGTTCCTTTCTTTTTGTCATTTACTTTATGTTGGCGTATAGATTGGATAAAAACGAAATGTAAGGAGAGATAGAATCTGTGGCAAGTTTAGTCTCCTGTTCATCTTTATATTCATGTGAGGAATACTATATCCTGATATACTGGAGAGCGACCATGTATTTTGCTGGCACGCATGCTTGTTCTTCCTTAGTTTATGTGTACATTAAGCCTTCACCATTTACAAAGTTAGAGGAAAAATGTTCTTTTCTGTGGACGCCATGATTATGTGTATGTCATTTTTCAATGACTTCCAATTTTTATATGGCATTGCTTTCTAATTGTATGCAGGATGTAGCAGTTTCACATCAGAGCGAGCTGACTGAGTCAGATAGAGAAAGACATTCCTCGGAGATACCAAGTGTAAGTTCTCCTCCTAGAAGCCCTCCAAGAAGTATAGGCTCGGTCATTCAGTTGATGTCCAAGTTGAAGGTCTCAGTCACAAATGATCCTAACTCAGTTAAGAGATCGACCTCAGATAACTCCAACTTGACTCAGAAATCAGTTCCCTTGTTTAATTCAGCTGAAAATGCTGTGTTACTGAGTGTTGATCCTCATAAATCCATAGAACCAAAAGCCATAGAGAAGCCCTTAGTGCGGTCGATTTCTATTACAACTGAGAATTTCCCATCTAATCAAGTGACTGCCTCTGCTACAGCTGAAATGCCCATGCCACTGCTCCCAACATTACCATTATTGGCTCATTCAGTGAGTCCAGCTGCTCAGTTATGCGCTGACCCTCCAACAGCCATAGACACTTATGTTCCTCAGTCTTATCCGAATGGAATTGTGGGCAGTCATATTTTTGGAAGAAGCGAACAAGCTGGCAGTGGAAGCATCTTTCCCAGCCCAAGCCAAGCGTTGCATCAGCACAGTCTTGCTCAGCGGCATAGCCAGCTCAATTCGTATAAAGTAGACAAGAATGCGCACTTGGATCAAGAATCAAATATGATTGCCGGGCCAACACAACTACAATCGCTATTAACAACCTCAGTAAGTGACACTACAAGCTCAATCCGATACATGGAATGTCTCAAGAATCATGCTGCAAGTATGGGAGGGCATGCTATCGACGGATGTGGAGAATTCATGCCAAGTGGAGGAGAAGGGACCCCAGGAGCCTTAAAATGTGAAGCTTGTAATTGCCACAGAAATTTTCACAGGAAAAAAATCATCAACCACCGACAGATGGCCGGCATTGGGTCACATATTGAACCGAGAAATAATAGCAATAGCCGCAATATACACAAGCAATCCCCGATTTCTCAGCAATACCAGCATAATTACAGCTATTCTCCTAGTTCAGTGGTTAACTCTTCAGATTCATATCCTCAACTACCTTTACCAATCTCTGGCCAGATATGTTTACCACAGGGCTTGGAAAGAAAAGAACCTAGTTTAATTAGACCAAGCTATTCATATGAAATGGTGAATCATGATACCGTTCAGCAATGGGAATATTTCTGGAGGGACAGAAGTAGGAATACATCGATAGATCATCCTTCTTTACGAAATGAGAATCAGAATTTTGATATGTTCAAGCCTTTAAACTACAGAACCTCTGATAACATTCCCTCGGAATTTGCCAATGAATTTCCACATCTTGACATCATTAACAACTTGCGATATGATGAGCATGGAAAGGGAAGGACTTTGATGCCAAACTCAGGCTTTCAGAATTTGAGCAACGGTTCATACCATCTGAATGGCCATTTCACTTAAATGAGTGAAAATTGGGATGTCTACTGGTCTAAGTGTAATCTCTCTGATCTTTAGTCTGAAGTGATTCTGCCCTTTTGTGGTTCCTTTTTAATCTTTTGTAGAAATGTGGCTTTGACATCAAGCTGATCTGGGATTTTTGATGGTTTAAGAATTTTGCCATTTCATTAGTGCTGAAGTTTGGTAATTAGTTCATTCTCTGTGTTGTTATGATCGCACCCGTGTCGACACGACACTAATATGAGTGTGAGTATAGGATCTGTACCGGATCTGGTCAAACAATTTTGGATACTTTGACCACGATGGGTAGAAAAATGCGAGATGAGATACAGTTTGATTCACGAAATCAGAACCAAAACTAGGGTAAACTTGAAGAAAATAACATACCTTATCTAGGAAAGCACTCCTTTACTTATCTACAACTTGAAATATAAAAAAAAATCCACACTTTACAAGCTGTGCGTAAGTATTCGAAAAAATTTCTCATAATTTAGAGATATTTTTATATTTTTTATTTTTTTGAATTATTTTTAAATGGATCCCTGCACCCGTATCTGTACTAGGATCCGTGTCCCCGAATCTTAGAATTTACATCTCGAAGGATCCGACCTTTAGATCCGCATCCGTGTCCGAGCAACTTAAGTTATGATGGCAACAGTGTTTCATCATCTTTAATATTTTGTCATTTTGATTGGGAAGTGGTTGTCACACTGGTAATGGTAAGAGGGATATTCACAGGAGATATGAAGGTTAAATTAAATCTGCAATTCGACTTGTCAAAATTAAAATGATTCATCATATGATTCATATCTATTGCTAGGGGTCGCAAACGGGCGGGTCGAAAAATGGATAAATTATGCGATTCGACCCGTATTTGAGACGGATAAAAATGGGTTATCCGGCGGATAATATGGATATCCATATTATCCATCACTTTTTGAATATGATCATTTAGGGGAGAATCCCAAATTTGAGGCTTTACAAATATAAAAGTTAAACACATTAGTTATCCATTTGGTTAACCATTTTCTAAGTGAATAATACGAGTATTATCCATATTCGGCCCGTTTTTAAAAAATTCATTATCCAACCCATTTTTTAATGGATAATATGGGTGGATAACTGTGTAAAAATTGCACGGGACGCCCTATTTGGTCCCCCCATTTAACCTATACCCATTTTTTTTAAAAAACTTTTAACTTGTACCCACTTTTTAAACAACTTCAGCTCCCTTTCTCCTCCTCCTCCTTCTCCCATTGATCTCCATATCTCTCCGAAACTTAACATTGATGTAACAATATCTCTCCTTCCGTGGCTTCACTCAATTCCTCAAAAGCCTTCTTACTATACATAATTAAAATAATTGTAACATAAGTTCATTTAACTTTTTCGTATACTCTTCAAGATGAAATACTGTCCGGTAGCCAGGACGACTAATTAGAAGTGAAAAATTGGCATTTTCTTCCTTCCCTGTTTTGTTTTTTTAACAGAAACGTGCGGGGAAATCAATTTTTTTAACCTATTCAAAACTTTATTGTTCGTTTACTAGTTACAAAAAAAAAATTATAGATAAGCCATCTTACTATACATAAGCAAGTTCGACAGTTACAAAACAAAAACTTCAGCGCTAGAGCTGAACTTCAGGCCCGGCTACTAGAATGCTGAAGTTTTGCGTGATTGTCTTTGCTACTTCAACCCCGTATGCTGAAGTTATGCGAAAAAGCGGGTACGCTTGCAATTTTTTTTACAAAACGGGCACAAGTTAAAACGTGACACAAAAAACGGATATAGATATAAATGCCCCGATAACTGTTTTCTTTTAACTATTTTACTACCTCTATCTATTGCTATCGTTTGATGATCTTTTTTTCCCTTCAGAAATCTAACCTTACTATACCAGTTCGCGTTTGCTAAGAAAAATTCAGTTTGCGACGTTGCTAAGAAATGAGATAGTTTAATGCATTCATATGAGCATGTTAACAGTAAAAG